GCATTCATATCACGACTCGATTGATCCAACTTGGAAGTGGGTGCAGTTCGGCTTGGTGGGGGCACCAAGCTTGATTAGGCGAACCTTGTTCATGCCACCTTGCAAACACCTGTAAATTTTGTAGTCCTGTATCACTTGTATTTGAAGCAGGTCAAAATGAGATCTGTTACTTAACGCGAAGTAGCAGAAGGAACTAGCGAGAAAGTGAAATGCCTTTCGCTAACCGAACAGCGTCTAGTGCTACTAACGTGGCGAATCAGCTGGCTGACGATACCGGGTATGTGGCAAGAGAATCGTAATTCGTCGGTCAATTCAGTCGGCATCGCGCGCGACGTCGCGCCTGCTAATGACGACGATTTTAGGTGGTATTGGTCGAGAACAGACAATGTATGACCAAAAATAGACATAAGTGTCTACCATGTCCTTGTCTACATGAAATCCGATGCTCCAATCGAAAGGGTAGTGCAAATTAAGGAAACGTCGCGCCCATTGCCGCGCGCGACGAAGCGGCAATTTACGATTCTCTTGCCCATTTCCCGACGATACCAACAGTTCGTGCACGTTGCCGCATTGTGTATCGCTTAAACCACAACACTTAGATTCAGCGCAAAGTTTTTCTAACCACCCGAAATATGGTGTCATTGCAATGCTTGAGCAGAGCTAGCAAGCCATAAAAGCACTCTAATGCTCATATTGTTCCTTTCTGGCCCCTCCCCTTCGCAAACACACCGTGACAAACGCTACGACACAGCTCTGAATTGAAAAGACAAGTAATCAAGGTTGCACTGGGTGATGAACCTTTGGTCAGAAAAATCTATATTTTCCCTAATTGTGGGTTGTACCTCTTTTGCGAGTCCTGGGGTTCAGAAAGCTTTGGATTGTAAGGTTCAGCATCTTTCTCAGGTGAACACATATGTCTCGCAGCTGATCAGATCTTTTTAATGCCCATAGTTGCTGAGGTCTCGATCCGAGTTGGAACTGCGCCTTTTGTGAGTCACCTTGGCCTTATTCTCTCTTCGGATTGAGCAAAATCGAAGGGTATAATCCTGTACAACGCTATAGGGTCATTCACAGGCACCAGATCAACATACTGAAATTTGATTGGTTGTTCTGAAGGTGGTATGGTCAGGGCACACCACTTGCGATGAGGAAAATCCCTCAAACGCCACACCATAACCACCCATCCCCAACGATTTCCGTCGTGCACAAGGTGTACCTGGAGCAAGGACGAAGAAGAACCCAATCAGTCAAGTGTAATCCCCTGCCCCCTTCCTCCTCCAATGGGGCTGCACCAATCTGCAGAACTAACGTCAGCACGGAACAAAACCCTCAGTCGGAGGACTGTGACGATGTGTATTTATACAGAAAACCGGTTCAAAGAGCAAAATAAACACGTTGCACGTGTCAGTCACTTTACAACATGTTAGACATGTTTATATTGATTAGGCCGTGTTCCTTCCATGCATCGCTGAAGAATCGGAGGATCCGCGAAAAGGAACAGGTACAAATCGACTGACTAGGATTTAGCCCAAATGGGAAATCGGATATTCTTAATCCTGTATCCCAAGGTTTGAGTGCGGTCTCGTGGTGCTTCATAGCTTTGAAAACAAGAAATGTTGAACCATTTACAGCCATGATCCCTGCAAACGATAGGGCGAATAAAAGTTCAAACGCAGCTAGAACAGCCACAGCTTTCGCCGCCCTATGTTGCAGGCTCAGCATGCGCTTCGATCGCCCGATCTTTTGCAGGAACCATAGTTTCAATGGATGCGGAGGAGTGGAGACGGGCAAGAGAACCGTAATTCGCCGCTGGCCGCGCGCGGCGATGGGCGCGGCTTTTCTTAACTCGTGTTAACCTGTCGATTGGAGCACCGGACTTCATGTAGACCCCGTCATCGTAGACATTCATGACTATTTTCGGTTCTGAATTGTGCCATCTACTACCTGGAACCATCGTCATTTGCGGGCGCGACGTCGCACGCGACGCCCACCAGCGCGCTGAATTACGATTCTCTTGACACATACCCGCGGAGGAGACGCACAACACTAGTATACGATTCCTTTGTTTCACTTTGAAACCCTTCAAATAAAACATGTTGACTTGTAATCCATTCGTAAAATGACCAGGAACACAAGGAGATCTGGACAATGTAGAAACCTCAAGCCATCCTGCCTTAGGTCACGCGTAAAGTAGGAGAGGTAGAAGGAGAGCAGGAAAGATGCAGACAGACTGCGCCACATCCAATACCTGAAAGGCAAAAACTCAAGAAATCTCGTTCTTCTCTGGAATTCTCGTTCCTTTGCTCTAGTTCGCTGCGGATGAAGGGGCGTGTCAGGCACTACGAGTAAGCCGCCGCGCCAAACCTGTCGTGTGCCAGTTGCAGCGGGTATGCGAAAACGATTGCTGTGAACGATATTATGCAGTACCCTCACGATATGATACGATACAGTACCCTTATGATATAGTATCCTACGCTTCAACAACTGAGGGAGAACTGGTTTGGCACAAGTCTACGAACAACTTGAGCCCAGTTCCCTTGAACGCGTCGAATTTGTGTGTTTTCTCTGCTCGTCTCGTCCGCGGTGGCACTCTATGTGAATTCGCACAATTCACCTTTTCACGGCATTATAGATGACTACACCACCGGGGGTCCCCCTTGGCCTTGAATAAGCCGGCCGTTTCCTGGACTCGAAAATAGTTCCTTGCGCGACTCGATGCCAGGCTCTGCCTTCTGTATCTGTCTGCGTTACTTGGTTTCGCAACAAGGGTATGCGACAAGAGAATCGTAATTCGCCGCGCTGAAAGGCGTCGTGTGAGACGTCGCGCCAGCAAATGGAGACGGTTCAGGTCTCAGACGGCGACAACAGGCAATGTAGATATTAAAAAGTAGTCATAAATGTCCACAGTTTCGTAGTCCACGTGAAATTCGGTGCTCCATTTGATAGGGTAACACAATTGAGAAAACGCCGCGCCTGTCGTTGCGCGCGGCAGAGCGGCGTATTTCGATTCTCTTGTCCGTTTCCCTCCCAACAAGACCATAACAACAGTTCAAGATGTCACGTAACCGTCTGGCAACGCGCCAGTATTCAATCCCGAGCTGACACACCCCGTTCCGTAGGCGGATACTAATCTATACTCTAACGCAACTCCTCTTGACAAGCTGATACTGCTTTTGTCCTTGGTGCTCTTCTAGCTGACCAGAATAGACCGAATCGAGTCTAATTCAGAAACGCTTTCTGATAGGGCACGCCAGCTTTAGTCTCATCGAAATTGCTGGCGAGCCAGAGTCTGCCTAATGTGAAACAACGATCACCGTACGCTTCATGTGTATGTCAAGATGCTTTTGCAGGTGATCGCTGGCAATAACCGCGGACTTTCTGTGGGTGTGGAGCGTGGACGACGCAACATATGGGCGGTCAAGGGTTCGGGTTTGCTAACTTGGAAAGCGGAAGTCGCTGTACAGGAGACACAGTACGTTTATACTACTACGTATATTCGCCGAATTGGCAGCCCAACCATCATTCTTCAATCGATTGGTTTTTCATTGATTGGTTTTCTCAAGACAGCTCTTAGGTAATGCGGATTGCCAGTATCAGCAAACCGATAACTGCGGCAATCACTGCTAGGCTAGTGCAAGATGGCAAACTAGAACTGGATAACCTATAACAGTTAAGAATTAGCCTAGCAGAACCTTAGAGTGGAATGAACAACGCGCGGTGCAAGCTGTAGCACACCTCCGTTTGACTGTGTTAGAGTTAACGAGACGTTCATCTGACACGCAAGTGACTGGGGCGTGTCCTCATAACATGTAATGACCACGGACATCGACGCGACATCGTCTGATGTTGGGGGAAGAGGGGGAGGGGGCGGGCACTCAGCAGCATCTCTGTGTCCTTCTTTCAGCGCTGAGATAGTTGGGAGAGAAGGTTGGGGAGAGAGACCAAACGGCCGCGCCTCAATATCCCTTCTCTAAAAAGGATCGAGACTTACGGTTAGAACGTGGATGACCAGCGTCGCAGTCGCCTTAGTATACCTCCACGAGAATACACACGTCTCCACTCAGTCTTTACGCGTTGAGCAGGGATCCTGAGGCTCTCGATAGAATGCGCTTCCCTCTACCCAAACTCACTTTACCCTTCCTTTCTACCTCCCGACGCTCAAGTTGAAGTGACTGTCTTTCTGCGCATACTCTGGCCGTAATGTACGGTAATCCTAAGCCTTGGTTAGCGGAAGGAACGAGGTGCGTGCGAGCAGGGTAGAGAACGTCATGAGGTGTGAAATCGTAGTGACAGTACCCCCAACTCCATATGGGTACGACCCCCTTCCCATTCCCTACTCTGACCACTCCCTAGGTTATCGTCTTCTCACCACTTTCCCGGAATTCCTAGTATCCCCCAGGACCAGCTGCCGTCGTGGCGGGGGTGGAGGGGTGAAGCTCCCTCAAATCAAGACAAGAGCTCTTTAAATTAACTATGGAGAAGCAGGTTATGCAATGGTTTTGCTGCGCCACCATGTTGAAGCGGGGGATGTGAAACAGGAACAGTTACTATCCAGAAAAAAAACTATCGAAGCCAGGCAGGGACCCCCTCCTCAGCTACCAGAAAGGACCACTCCCAGGCACGACCGCGTGATGGATTGTCACAAAACGATGCTTCTGTCGTCTGGTTGACCCTCCCAACTGTGTTGGTCGCCGAAACTCGTGTATGTCATTGTCAGTGACGTCTGAATCAGCATGATACGTGACGTAGATGACACGTCATCTGTCTCTTGACAGATACCGAACTGGACCATGTGTTACGGGTCATATGTACATTAGGCAGCATTCAGACTTGTAGGCGCTACAGCTGAGCCGACTTTATAGGCTGCGTTAGGCTGCTACAATTGTACCAAACTCCAGCTTCACTTTACTGTTTTTGCTTTCTTAATTCAACGCCTTTTGTCTTGTGTTTTCATGTTTATCTATGCTAAGCTCCATCTTTCCTACTTTATCACATTTTAATGTGGTTTTGATACAGAAACACGACTGTGAATAATTTATTTATATATCGCTTTCGACTTTAGTTATTTAGTTCGAGTTGCCTATTGATTGCAGTGGTGCATCGTGTTTGTTATTGCAAAATTGTTTTCATACTAATCAAAAACATCACAGTATTCTGTATCAAAAACTACATTAAAATGTGATAAAGTAGAAAACAGGAGCTCAGCATCAGATAAATATGAGAAACAAAGAGAAAGGGGTTGAATTCAGAAAGAAAAAACATAAAAGGAAGCTGGAGTTTGGTACAATTGTAGCGCTACGTAGCGCTACAAGTCTGAACGCTGCCTTAGCACCAAAACCCATCTTTTAGGCGTATTTGCCTGATTTCCCCGTTAAAAAAGTGGATGGAAAGGCAGTGCAGATCACCACACGGCAACTGCTATCGCATACTGGAGGCATTCGACATTACAAGAAAAAAGACGAGGAAGTGAGTCTTTCTGTCGTTTAGCTTTTCCGAATCATTAAGTGGTAAAGCTCGAACAGGCTAATATTTATTACAAAATAATGGGATGATTGTAATGGGAATTATGGTATACAAGATGAGATATCTTTTAACAAAAGCTTTGCGCATTTTACCACGAAAGCGTCACGCCATTATGTGGTACAAACTTATCGCAATGAAAGATATTTGATGCGAAATGACTACAATCTACTGTACCAGTTTATAACCAGTCACGCACGGAAGCCACTCCATGATCTGCTCTAGTCTCAACATATATGGTATATTAAAGACCTACGATAAGTAACTATCTATGTGAATGCTCTTATAGAAGAACTTGCAGTCTAATTACTCCCTTTTCTGCTGCTTCTTCTTGTAGTCCTTCAACGCTGCTTGAATCGCATCCTGTGCCAACACTGAAAATTTCGGTATTGCGTGGTGTTTTTCTGTACATCAGCACATTACAATTGTCCTCAGCATTACTACCTTTTGCAGACTTAAAGATACACTTCACTGTTGCATAACGTGGATTATGGGTATCAGAGGGGAATTACTATGTGGCACGTGTGTGGGTTAAACTTACCAGTGAAAGATACAGCAAATAAACTGAAATCCCTAAATAAGAAAAGTGCTTGGATCTAACCATGTGCGAGCATACAGGGACGCATATAGACGCAAAGCAGAAAAGAAATCGGTAACGAAATGGAGAGATACAGATTAGCGACGACCTAACTGCCTTGCAGCGACTGTGAAATCAAATGGGAGGACGACATTTCTGAGGGAGGTGCCCAACCCTGCCAGTGCCAGATCTCTAGCCTTCCACAAAGCATGGAACGTCCCCTGAGATTCCAGACTGCGCCGCATGAAAACGGATATATACACTAAAATAGTATACTGTGCCTTTAAGTTGAAAGATGCCACACGTGGGGAGGAAAGAGTATGGAAGGAAGGGAGCGAATGTACAAAATCGGATATTTGAGGTGAAAGCGACGGCGCAAAAATTATAAGGCTCTTCCCACTCGACATATGAGCATTACCCAGATAGTTCCACTACATTTCTGCACTTCTAAATGTCAGACATGAGATTTCTGCGAAATTCCCAGATAATTTTCGAACCCCAAAGACCAACTGCCAGCTCTTGTAAAACAATGAAATACCATACAAAACCATTACCAGGGGAGGGGGCTCGACAAGCTTGCTCCAGCTTTAAAAGGGCTCACAGGTTCAATTAGAATGAGACGTAATCAATAGTGAGGCAACGAAGTGATAAAAGCCCCCCCCCCTCTCCCGGTGGCCGAATCTGACTCTATGAAGTCAGAATTAATGCGGAAACATCAAAAAAGAGTTGAACGTGCGAGCTTATACCCATTGTACTTGCGTACTAGAGTTTTCAAACTCCAAATAACTACGTGGTGGCAGTTCACAGTGTTTCACGTTATCGCAACTGAATGGCTATGACAACCAGTGAATGGGTGGAAAAACTCATCAGCAGCGACCACGTGCTCAAGAAAGAGATACGGCTTCGCTATGACACTAAAAAGTCAAAGTATTCGCAGAAATTGCCGATCAATGGTATGCAACACCCGGATATACAGAGATGAAGTACCAGGAGATGGACAGTTAACAAGCATTGGGACATTTCAAGGATGGTGATTTTTTTTCCCTTGGGAAACAGCTCATCTTATTAAGGAATACGACTGATGCTATCATTACACGTTTCGGCGCTGCTGTTAGATACGTAGCAAAGGGAACATGGCGTTCATTACCACTAAAGCCCAGGCAACGGTGCCGGTGCTGATCATGTCTAGCCCTTAGCCGCGGCACTGGATGGCAAGCGCCTTTTTCTCTCTCCCTCGTTAATGGATACCCCTTCCAAGATACCTTCACGTCACGCCATACATGCTGAAGCCGGACATATGAAAATGGACGTTAGGCGTAGGATGCACACGTACAACATGAGCGCAGTTAAGCTTGGTGGGCGTTTTACTGGTTGCTGTCGATGATTGTCGACGCTTCTTATGGAGACCTATGAGAGCTACCCTAAAGCGTTAGGACCTGTGAGAGCTACGCTAAAGCGTTAGTCTTGTGAACACAAGGGAACGACGTAGAGCTTTTACCAGGGCAAGTTATTAATAACTAGCAAGTAAGTTTAGAAAACTAGGGAAAATGCCCCACCCACCCCTCCCCCTCCAACCAGAAAAGCGCTCTTATCGTTTTTTAAGCAACGGCGACTACCATGCGTGTAGTCAATCCTGAAACGCTACGCTCATGAAGAAGAAAATCATGATAATTACTCACTTGAACAGTGAAGTTTGACGGGTGGAAGACATAGTTCCTTGGCGATTTGGTCATTTTTGATGTTAGCAGCATCATCGACAGTCTTTCCATTAATCCATTCAGTTGCCAAACTACTCGATGCAATTGCAGAGCCACATCCGAACGTTTTGAACTTGGCGTCAACTATTTTTCCATTCTCATCAACCTAAAATTTACAAAACTGGGTGCTATTCGTGCGTTTTTGAGTATCATTCATACTTTCCGTCAACGTTTTAAGCGAATATAAATCGATCTAGTGTTTCGAGTATACGCCATTTTCGTGGTCAGTCGCTGAAAATGCTTTCGTATGCTCAAAACGCTAAATTGATGTCTATACTTCCCTAATCGCTAAAGCTGTCGTAGGCTTAAGCGCTGGATCAATATCTTTACTTTCCTGGTCGCTCAAAAGGCTGCCGCACGCTCAAAACGCTGACGCAAAGTATGAATGCACCCTGAGGTGAACATTGCTGATAGACTGAACGATCTTCTTAAGCACAAAAATTAATGTTCGAAATTTCCTTTTGAACAGTTACACCTATCCAGAAACACGGTCAGGACCCCAACTGAACTGACAGATACATTCCATGTTTTCAAAAGAATAAATTCGAAATTCGAAAAAACCGTTACTCGTTAGAACTGCTCACCTTAATCTGTAGTTTCATCACATCACCACAAGCTGGGGCGCCAACTATACCAGTACCAACAGAAGGATCATTTTTATCCAATGAACCGACGTTGCGCGGATTTTCGTAGTGATCAATCACCTAAACAATCACAACTAGACCGTATTGTACAAAACTTTTGAGAATTAAGGTGAACCCACTTTTTCGTGGTAATTTGCCTGAGTTGCAAGAACAGCAGGGCGAGCTTTAGTCAATAAACGTGCTGCAGAAGAAACCAATGACATTCTGGAAAGAGAACGGTTGGAACAGAGTAAGAACTGAGTCAACGATTGCACACAACACATGATAGGCAGGCACAACAGCCCTCGTGAGGGGAATGTTGACGTTTTACTGAAAGTGATCTTTGAAATAGCGGCCTTCGTTGACAGGATGTCGTGATGCATGCTGTAATGGCCGCAACTCGATACACTACACCCTATTAGACGACAAAAATGGCATTGATCACTCACGATTAGTCTATACGCTATAGGGGGAAGCGGGAAACAAATTTGTAGATTTAGTGGCGAGCGCAGACGCCTATTGAAGCTATCACGAGAGTCCCGAGTCAATGGCAAAAATCGGACCACGGTTGGGATTCGAACCCGCATCTCCAGATTTCTGTGCTGTTGCCTATTGGAGCGTTTTTCTTTGGAAAAAAGGTGGCGGAGGTGCAGGGATAGCTCAGTGCGATCCGGTCACAGGGTGGAAATTCTCTCTCTGCGAGGGTCCTGAGACATTTTCTCATTGCATCTACTGGCCGGGCATTGAAGGGAGGGAAATAACGAAGAGGGAGAGAAAATTTAAGAAGGAGAAGGAAAGGAAGAAAAAGAAAAGGGGGAGAGCGAGAGAGTCTTAGTTTTTCTTCCTCGTTCTTTTTTTACTAATTGACAGATATCTTAAGACGAGAGCAATCCAGAGCAATGCCAGGCCACACTCTCTTCTAATTGTCTGCGTCCTCGCAACGAAATAGTGTCCTCTTCACCGCCTTCCCTAGCTTGAGGGCGAACAAGCAGGAAAGGGGCAAGTTTAGCTGTTGCCTATTGTCCCTCTGCTCTCATCAATCATAGCTTCGGATGGAAGGTATCCCAAGAGAGATTTTCGATTGACACCACCATTTCGGGTTTAGGTAGTGCGTGTGGTGCATCCCAGTTTTATGAATTTCCACATATTTTTGACGATTTATTGCAAAGTCTCCTTTGCCACT